CCACTTTCAGATCAACATGGAGATCCGTGCTATGGACAACGATCGCCTATCCGATCCAGATCTTATAGGAACCTATACTTACTCTTTTCTGCCTTCAGCACTCTCCTCTTGGGAACATATTTACCCAAATAATAGAAAAAATGCACATTCCTCCACCAAGTAAGAACCAATTAATTCTAAAATTGATGTACGAACATTCATCTCTGCGTTTCGACTAGTCTCTCAGCGGTACGGGTCAAGCAGCCTGTCCTAAGCCTGCATTCTCCTTTTTATTTTAGAATGTATGTGAAGATAAGGCGGACATGCAAACCTCACCACTTCGGCCCCAGTTGCATACCATGCCACATTCCCAAGGCGAGGGGCACTTGCGATTTTAACGGCTTTCCGATATGCAATGCAGGTCGTTTACTCTGCACCACGTCTGCTTTATACTTGCATTATTCGTTTGGTAGCTTAATATTACTTCTGGACTGACCCATGTCATCTACTGCTCACGTCATTTTCGCCAAAATATGCTGGCAGTAAACACACTGCTGCAGTTTCATTCTGCTAGTTGGTCATTCTACTGTGGAGCGGTGTGGTCTGCATTCTTGCTTGACAAATATGTTTGGTACATCAACCTCTAGAAGATTAAACAGGCTTCAATCTAACCACATGTACCGACAATAATTCTACAAAAGGTCTTCTTTAGGCTATTCTGGACCCGAGTGCTCGCAACATAACTTCTGCAGAGATTCGTCACCCTGCGCGCCATTCGCAGTCTGTGTGAACACAGAAGACTCCTTCATCTGCCTGTGCGATGGTACCTCGGGTATGCTGTTGAGACGTTTTAGTCCCCTGTGAATTCAGGACTCTTCGTACAATGCAGGCTGTAGTGTTTCCAGCATTGAGTGAATGCCCCAATTTCGCTTTGTGAATGCCTCACAGAAATTGCTCGCAGAACAGTGAATGAATGAAATAATCTAAGACAATTTAAACTACTCAAAGCCTTTATTTGTGCCCCAATGACTCCGATCCTATGTTTTTGGAGCTGTGACCTTATTGCCTTCATTCTGTTTCAATTAAGAATGCGTCTCCGTTGCTCAAGAACTGATTTTGCTATCCAAATTTAAGGCAAGAGATGCGAAGTGGGCTTTGATCCATGCTCGGAGCACATCTGCCTCCACAATGGCACATGCATCGCAGTAGGGGAGAACAGAAACTTTGCTGAATGCATCAATTGTGATGTCGGCTGGAGTGGTCTTCATTGCGAGGAGAAGGCTGATGCTTGCGCAGAGGAGGAAAGGCGGCTCGGTCGACCGCCCTGTGCCAATGGAGGACACTGTGTCAGTCGAATGAACGGCACAGTACTCACCTGCCTCTGTGAAGACGGGTGGCAAGGGCCGAGGTGTGAAATGGCGTTTACTACGGTAGGTCACTGTGGAATTGTTAGACGCCTTCTCTTGTCACAAATTAAAAGCGCATTCCATTCCATTCCATTCAGGTATCAGTTATTCTTGTGGCCATCGCAATTTGCATCGTCGCTCTAGT